AGCCGAATAGTACATGATATCAAGGAAGCTTTTATGGATGATATTATCACAAAGCTAGACTTTGAAGGGGATGGAAGGGTTGACATACACTTGAGGCATGGGGAGCTTGTGGAGGAGGAATTAATAAGGCTTGATAACTACCTAGACGTGGAGTGGAATGTCACGAGGAGGGGACTCATCTTCACCAAAGCTTGCTTTAACTCTCTCCCGGGGGTCTCATGCGTGGATGAAGAGTATGTTTTCTCTCCCTATTTCATTTCAACAGTTTATCAATTGTTTCTTGACAGGTACAAAGGATGTGACGACATCCGGGAATGGAGACAAAATGAAAGAAACAAGGTGAGGTCCCACAAGAGAAGGGGGGTCTCGGCACACACATAGTTTTTATGTTTTTAGCCTCATGGAATGTTAGGGGGCTTAATCAAGCCTCAAAACAGAATACAATAGCTACTCTTGCAAGGTTTAATAAGGTACGCATTTTCTGCCTCCTTGAAACCAAAATGTCCTCTATCAATTTTGAACGTTTTGTTAGATTTAGATTCAATTCTTGGAGTTTTGCAACAAACATTGATAAAATTAATGGGGGCCGTATGGAGATCATATGGGACCCTAACTTTGTTGATGGTGTGATCTTACAAGTTGACAAACAACATATCCATGCTAGGTTTACTTGTAAGGTTACACAATTGTCTTTCTATGTAACGGTTTTTTATGCATTGTATACAATTGTACAAAGAAGGGAACTTTGGGAACATATAACGACCCTAAGTCAAAATATACTTGCACCGTGGGTGGTTGTAGGTGATTTTAATTGTGTAGGCTCTCCTTGTGAGAGGAGGGGCTCGGCCCCCCCTTCGGCATATGCAATGCAACACTTGAATGATATGAAAATCCAATCTAACCTATGTGATGCCCCTTCTACCGGGGAAGTGTTTACTTGGAATAGGGGGGCTACATGGGCTAAATTGGATAGGGTACTTATTAACTCCTTTTTGTGTCAACAAAATGTTTCATGTAAAGCGCATTTCTTTGAAATGGAGAGTGAATTTGACCATGTTGCTTCTTTGATTAATATGGGTGCCGTGACATGCTTAAGGTCGAAGCCTTTCAAATTTTTCAATATGTGGCTAAAACATGAACGGTTCCATAATATTTTGGAGAAGGTTTGATCTAGGGATGTTGTTGGTACGACTCAGTTTAGGCTTGCCAGAAAACTGAAACTACTTAAAAAACCCCTAAAACAGTTAAATAAAGATGAATTTAGCCACATTTCTACTAGAGCAAAGGTGTCAAAAAAGGAGTATAAGAGAATCTATCAATTATCCCTCTTGTCTCCTTTTGATGAAGCTCTAAAAGAAGAATTGGTAAAAGCAAAAAAGAATGCAAATTTCTTAAAAGAGGCCGAGGAAGCCTATGTTAAGCAAAAGGCTAAGGCAAATCACATTTTGCAATCCGATAAGTGTACTAAGTATTTTCATTCTATCATGAAAAAGAAGAATGCACAAAACTCTATTGCCTCTTTGAGATTAGAAGATGGAAGTCTTACTAAATCTATGGAGCAAGTGGCACAAGAGTTTATTTCATTTTTCAAAGGACTTTTTGGTACAAACATACCCATACAGGATTATAACCCGGAGGTGGTCACCTCTGGTAGAACCATTGATCATACTTTAACTAATGACCTTATTAGCCCCGTGACTGATAAGGAGATTAGGGATGCAATTTTTGACATTGGAGATTATAAAGCCCCTGGTCCGGATGGCTTTTCATCTGCATTCTTCAAAAATAATTGGAACCTTGTGGGTAGGGATGTGTGTGAAGCTGTAAAGGAAATCTTTGTTTCAGGGACTATGCTTAAACAAGTGAACCATACTGTGGTGTCTCTTATCCCTAAGACAAACCATTCTCCCACTGTGTCTGACTTTAGGCCTAAATCCTGTACCAATGTGACTTATAAGATCATCACTAAGATTTTAGCCTCACGGCTAGGACCTTGTCTTTCTGGTGTTATTAACCTTTCACAGGGAGCCTTTGTGGATGGAAGATTGATGTCGGACAACATCTTCCTAGCACAAGAGTTAGTGAGAGGATACACTAGGAAAAGGCCTTCCCTAAGATGTATGATTAAAATTGATCTTAGAAAGGCATATGACACGGTATCATGGGTTTTTCTTGAAAATGTTTTGTTGGATATTGGTGTCCCTGTTTTGTTTGTTAGGTGGATCATGGAATGTGTCTCAACCTGCTCTTTCTCCATCTCCATAAATGGGTCACTCCATGGTTGGTTTGAGGGTAAGAGAGGTTTAAGACAAGGAGATCCAATGTCCCCCTTGTTGTTTGTGATTTGTTTGGAATACTTTTCAAGGCTGGTAGAGATTAGGACTTCAAATCCTAGCTTCCGTTACCATCCTTTGTGTTCTCAGCTCAAAATAACACATTTGGCTTATGCAGATGACTTAATGTTATTCTCAAAAGGTAATTATGCATCTATTAAAATTTTAGTTGATGCACTTATTGAGTTTGGAAGTGTTTCAGGTCTCATGGTTAATTTGGAGAAAACTAATATTTTTCTTGGTGGTAATATGGAGAGTAGATTCCCTTATATTCTTGAAAGGGTGGGCTTTCAACAAGGATCCTTTCCGGTTAGGTATTTGGGTATTCCTCTTGCTCCTCTAAATATATCTGTTGCTCAGTTCTCTCCTTTGATTGCTAAGATCACAGATTATTTGAATGCATGGAACCCAAAAACCCTTTCCTATGCAGGTAAAGTGGAGTTGATCACCTCGGTTATGCAAGGTGTCCAAGCCTTTTCGCTTTGTATATTCCCTATGCCGAGGACCATCCTTGATAGGATTGCATCTCTATGTAGACTTTTTCTTTGGGGTGGTAAACAGGCAAAGGTGGCATGGTGTGATGTGTGCCTACAGAAAAGAGAGGGGGGTTTGGGAATTAGAGATACTAAGGTATGGAATAACGCCCTACTATCTCGCACGCTTTGGAACATTCATTCCAAACAAGATTCTTTATGGGTCAAATGGGTTCACGGAGTGTATCTCCATGGTAGAGAGGTGTGGACTTTTGTTCCACACCAAAAAGATTCTAGGCTTATAAAGGCAATTGGAAACGTTAGGGACTTGATTGTATCCAAGTTCCCTTCTTTGGATCTAGCTTTGGACTGTCTTAGTAAGTTATCCCAAAATGGGAAGCTTTCATCCTCTAAAGTCTATGACTTACTTCGTCTAAAAGGAACAATTCATCCTTGGATGTCGTTTATTTGGAAGAATTATATTCCTCCAAAACATTCGTTCATCACTTGGTTGGCATGTCGGGGTAGGTTACCCACCTATGACAGATTGGAATTTTTGGATGTGACTAACATTTGTCCTTTTTGTAAGGGTGGCCCGGAAACGGTGTCACACCTATATTTTGAGTGTTCATTTACGAAATAGGTTTGGGAGAGAGTGCGGAACTGGCTTGGTATTTCAAGGAGGATGACAACGATGCTTAGTGCAATCAAGTGGATCAAGAAAGAGCATAATGGTGCACATGCCAAGGCTAAAGTCGTGAGATTAGCTCACTAGCAGAAAACAGGCTTACAGTGACACTTTTATAGTGATACTTTCTAATATAATGACACTAATGACACAAAAGTGTCACTATTTTCTAACAAAAATATATAGGTCTCAAATAGTGACACTTGAAGGTTTAATTTTTACGGAGTATTTGAACGGCTCTACTTATGGGCCTGCGGGCATTGTTTTCTAAGCATATTAACAGTTCATTATTTTCTTACTGGCCATAAACTAAATCTCCTTCTGCGTGTTCTGTGAACCCTATCTCTTCTTCACGAGTTCGATCGATGGCCGTCGTTCTTGGTCCGACCGCCTGACATCGCGCGTCTCCTCGCTGGTTCTTCTTCATCAACGATTATCATCTATTTCAGGTGTGTAATTTGTCCTTCGTCTCCTCCATCATCCTTCAATAATATCATCTAATTTGGTTTAGTTTTAATCGGAATTCAATCAACTTCACCAGTAATCTGGTTATTCTTGTTCATTGCAACCTGGCCCCCGCCCTAGCTAATTGACGGACGGAGTCAATGTTTTTTCTCCTTCTTTTGGAATTACTAGCCGATGAACAGAGATGCTAGCCAGCAAGTATTCGATCTTTAACTCGACACCTCTATCTTTACCTCCTTTAATTTTAATTTATTGTAGTTTTTTAACCTAAAAATGAGGACATTTTGAAACCAAATCTATTTTTTTAGAATATAATACCCTAACCTTAAATCTATTTATAGAATGAGGAGTAGATGTTTTTGTTTACTAACTAGTAGTAGGGAAAAGTAGGTTAGGTGCTTGAAGTTCATATTGTAATGTATGTGTGTGTATGTGTATACGTGTGTGTGTGTGTTTGAAAATGAGGTTTTAATGCTTGTGAGGAGGAAGGTGCAGATGATTTTTGCTTTTGGTGATTTGTTTGTGATACTACAAAATAATTTATAGAAAGAATTTGAATCATTAGAGTTGGTTGTGGAGCATATTCTTGGAAAAACATTTAAGATCAAAACTAGGAATTTTGTTTTTGTGTTTGTAGGACTCTTAGATTTCTATTACTGTAAGTAATATGGTAATTTGGTGTCTCGCGGGTTGAAATTGCACGTGCTTAGATTTTTTTTTTCTTTTTCCGAACAAATGATTTCATTAGTTGCAAATTTGTTACTAAGCATGTACATTGGTTCTGTCATGACAACTTGGCAAACGTATTAAATTGTTTTTTTTTACTCTTGACTAATTCTAATGTCATGCCTTTTGATAGTACACAGTGATATTTCAGCATCTCTAGTTTTGATTGTCCGATCACCAATGAGATTTCATTTCTTTTACAAATTTTTGAGGGCCTGCCTTCTCCGACGGCTCTAGTGAGAAATGTTTAGTTGCAGGCTATTGCGGCTGCTGGATCTATCTGTTGAGATATTCTGAATGTCTATCTACAATGAGCTTGATCAAAGGTTTTTCTACATCAGCCCTGGCTTGCAATTTATCCCTCGTAACAGTAATCTGTTCATTGGGTGCAACAACAATGACTTCCTCTTTGCGGGTTAAGAGCTCATTAGCTACAACCATATGCATTCCATACTTTTTCAGAGCCAATTCAGCCTTATCCAAGAGGATATCTTTATCAGTTTCCAGCTTAAATGATAAGCAGAAAGCCAAAGGTGCCCATTCACTACTGAGCAATGAGAGCATCCTTGGCACCTGATCAAGCTGCATGTCCAAAGGACCAGCTCCAGACTGGATCTTATGGTCTCTCAAGCTTTCCCAAGGGACATAAAAGTCAGAAACTGCAGCAGCAAGATAAAGCATAGCATTTGGACCAACGTATCTGAGCAACACAACAATAAGCTGCATCATCTGTAGATATTCAAAAATTGTTGTGAAAGGCAATTTGATCAGAGAGCCCCCAGCCACCGCCGCTTGATGCTCAGAAATTGCACGTGCTTATATATATGATTATTGCCTATGAAAGTTTGTCACTTCTTCATTCATATCATTGTTATTATTATCAATATTAGTAATTTATTGCGATTTGTCCTAAAACTGTAAGAAATGTGCATACCATATGACTGGTTTTGAAATATTTCAGTTGCACGTCATATGAATAATTACTATGTATATGTGTCATTCCAAAATTTTGTTGCTTACTTTGTCTTTACTATGTATGTTATTGGTGCATTTGTACACATTTTGATTATACTTAGGTAGCCCTATGCTTTTGGTATGGCCTGCCGCGTGAATTCAGAAAAGAAGTAGAATTTATAATATTCCCAATGTAATCTTTTTAGTTCAACTACCTTTTCACACTGCTTAAATCTCTAATTTATGTACTTAATGAATACGTGAAAAGTGCATTCTTCACTTTTTAAACGTTTTTGTGAATGTTACTTTTAGTAGCTACAGATTTTGTTGATAATTTTTTGTTTGTGTTAAAGTGGAGTTGGCTAATATGTATTGTGCACCTAATATGTTTCTGTTAAACGAAGTTAGCCGGTTGTTTTCTGTTGCAGATTTGTTCTCTGTTTTTGCTTTATGTTGCAGGTTTAATTTGTTCTCTGCTTTGCTTTCTGGTGCAGGTTTGTTGTTCTCTTCTTTGAATTCTATAGCTAATATGTGTTGTGCAGCTATGTTAACTAGATTAGTTAGTTTTAAATCAAGTATTCTTTTGGTTTATTATTTTTTAGTACATTGAGTTTAAGGCTGTAATTGATGACTTTAGTTAGTTATTTTTTCTAAACACCTAACTTATATTTTGTCTTTTCTATGTCTTTAACGAGAGCGTCTTTTTGCAGGGATATAAGAAGAGCCACTTTCAGCAGGTTTACTGTTTTCTATTTCGAGGTAAGTTTTTGTTTGGTTGATTGTTTTCTAAAATTATGCTTAGTAAAACATTAGTTTTGATAGTTCGAAACTTCTTTGGCTATTTATTATATATATATGGAAGAAAGAACTTGATGAGTCGGAAAAAGAAGATAATTGTGTGCTTGTTCTCGATTTCTATCACTTTTGCGATTATATTGTGCACATAATGAGGAAATATGTGCTTTTATGTTAGCTGTTTTTTATAGTTAAAAGGAGGGTCGATCTGTTTTTCTTTGTTGGCCGCTCATTTGGTTCTCACTTTTCAAGCAAGACAATGCTATCTAGGTGCGTACTTTTTTAAGTTTAACATATGAATGAATTCAATAAATTTTTTAACTAAATTTCAGACACACTAATTTTACATAGTGAATACAGATTTTTATCTATCATTTATGTTGTATAAACATATTTGTGGTGTATATAGCAATCTATTTATATCTATCATTTTGGTTGAGAAATATGAAATTAATTTTTAGTATTTGAATTTTGGTATACTCTTCACCTTTGACGTTTACACTTTCTGTCATATATTTTAGTTATGTAAACATAAGCTTTTTTAACACATATACATGGATATGCATAGCTAATTAAACTATATTTTATAATATGTATTATGTATGAATCCTCATATACACATAAATCACACACAGACAAAAGTCACAAAACTGATTGTAAAACTGTTGTCATTTTCTCCTGTCCAAATCCTCAATTGATATGAGTTTGTATTATCTCCTCTCTGTTTATCATTTTTGTTTCATTTCTCCAAGTTTGGATGAAGTATATTGTTAAATGATTAAAAATGTGTACACTTGAGTTACAATCTCAATGAATCCGTATATTTAATATCAATCATAGTGTATTTTATATTGCCAAATGTTGTACTTGTACAACATTTCAAAAGCAATCTAATCTACCTCTTTATTTGAGCTTTTCCTTCACCCATTGCTATTGAATGTTGATTGTGATACACACATCTTTTGCTCTAGATGTTCAATATCAATCCAGCAAGAAAACATACAAATGGCAAAATATAAACACACTATACACTAACAATATTTAGAATTGATTAGATCATGCCTGTCAATTTAGTAAATATTAGCCTGAGATGAACTTTACTGCCAAGACATCGAATATCTATGTTGTTTTCAAAAGAGTTGTAATGGGCATATGATTACCTCATTATCATGGAGAAAACATGTACTTCTCCCCACCCCTGTAATGCAGAGGAGCATCCATGGCCACTGCTACCCTTCCTTCTAGATGCCATTGGTTTGTTGGATTGGTGCTCATAAAATTCCGTCGTATTTATACTTCAAATTTCTAGAGTCTGATTGTGTATGACATATTATCTAATGGTTAATAATACTCCCTCCGTCCCATAAAAAAATTGTAATAGGTAAAAAGTATTTGGCAATTCAAAAATAAGTCATTCCAAGTGAGGCCTAAAATATATAACACAAGTGCTAGGTTCTTAGAGTTGACTAGGTTTAATGTTTTACTTTTTGATATTTTTTCATTCTAACTTACTTCTTTTAGGTTTGCAGAATTCCACATATGCAAGATACAACACCTAGCACATTCTTTGCAGTTGATAGATAACAACTGAGCATCTGAGTCCAAACGTAGTAATAGAACAATGGCTTCATTCTGTGCAGCAGAAGATATGATGTCTATGTATAAGAAGAAATGTGAAGGCCCTTTGAAGAATGGGCTAAAAGTTGGATTTGTTAGCGTTTTGTTCTTGTTTTTACTTATTGTTTCGTGCTATGTCCCTATGAATTATGTAGAATGTACAATCACATTTACGTGTGAATTTGAGATATAAATAAAAATATTTGAACATTTGGTTATTTATTAGTATTAAATTATGATTGTAATCAATGTATCATGTGTATGATTTCATAATATTAGCGTGTCATTAAGTTTTGTAATACCGTAGTGTCGCCAAGGTATCACTATTTAGTGATACTTAAGTGTCACTAGAGTATATGATGTAAAAGTGTCACCGAATAGCTATGTCGCCAACGCGTCACTATATTGTGATATCGTAGTGTCACAATTCTGTGACACTTGTAGTGACACTTAAAAAGTGTCACTCGGAGTGTCACTAGCCCCCACTTTCAGTGACACTTTTTTAGTGTCACAAAAACTTTCAGTGACACTAATTTGGTGTCACTGTAAGGCATTTTTCTAGTAGTGGCTTTTTGCTATACTATATATTGGACCTGGCGGATAAGGAACATGATATGTTTTGAGCAGGCCAAGACTACGGTGGATGAAATGGTTAAACAAATTAAATACATGGTGTATAAAGTGATTTACTCTATGTATCCAATTGATAGGATAACATTCTAATTTTTGCGGTTTATCACCAATCTTTTGTGATGGCTAGCTTACACATATAGCTAGATAGATGTATTATTTTTGGCGGTGATAGGGTGTCCTTCCTTGGGATGCCCTTTTTTGATGTTTTGGTTAATACGTTGATGTACATAAACACTTTGGATATATATATATTTACAGTTTATGCAAAAAAAAAAATAGAACTCGGTAAGATCTTTCCAACGAGATATTAAACGCTTTCAACGGCACAAAATAGAGAATGGTATGATCGCATCAAATTCTACACGAGTTCAGAGTGAAATCAGAAACATTTGTGAATATATGGTTAATCTGTAACTTTAATTTAATGCATTGTAAATGAAGTTGGAACAATAGCTTTAGATCTCCGATCTATCTTTCCAATGAGAAATAATACGCTCCAAACGGATAAACACACAGAAAGATATGAGTGTCACAAATACTTAGCCTTATCTCAATGATTTAGCGTTTTCAGCGAAAATAGAGCACTTTTAGCGTAAATACAGTGTATTTTAGTAATTAGGCAATCATCCCTTGATATTTTGAAACCAGCGCCTGAAGACAAGTTTTAGAACTCGATAAGATCTTTCCAACGAGATATTAAACGCTTTCAACGCCACTAAATAGAGCAAGATATGATCGCAACAAATTCTACACGAGTTCGGAGTGAAATCAGAAACATTTGTTAATATATGGTTAATCTGTAACTTTTAAATAATGCATTGTAAATGAAGTTGAAACAATAGCTTTAGAGCTCCGATCTATCTTTCCAACGAGATATAATACGCTCCAAACGGATAAACACACAGCAAGATATGAGTGTCACAAATACTTAGCCTTATCTCTATGATTTAGCGTTTTCAGCAAAAATAGAGCACTTTTAGCGTAAATAAAGTGTATTTTATTAATTAGGTAATCATACCTTGATGTCTTGAAACCAGCGCCTGAAGACAAGTTTTAGAACTCGGTAATATCTTTCCAACGAGATATTAAACGCTTTCAACGGCACAAAATAGAGCAAGATATGATCGCATCAAATTCTACACGAGTTCGGAGTGAAATCAGAAACATTTGTGAATATATGGTTAATCTGTAACTTTTAATTAATGCATTGTAAATGAAGATGGAACAATAGCTTTAGAGCTCCGATCTATCTTTCCAACGAGATATAATACGCTCCAAACGGATAAACACACAGCAAGATATGAGTGTCACAACTACTTAGCCTTATCTCTATGATTTAGCGTTTTCAGCGAAAATAGAGCACTTTTAGCGTAAATACAGTGTATGTTAGTACATAGGCAATCATCCCTTGATACTTTCAAACGTGCGCTTGAATACAAGTTTTAGAATTCGGTAAGATCTTTCCAACGAGATATTAAACGTTTTCAACGGCACAAAATAGAGCAAGATATGATCGCATCAAATTCTACACGAGTTCAGAGTGAAATCAGAAACATATGTGAATATATGGTTAATCTGTAACTTTTAATTAATGCATTGTAAATGAAGTGTGAACAATAGCTTTAGAGCTCCGATCTATCTTTCCAACGAGATATAATACGCTCCAAACGGATAAACACTCAGCAAGATATGAGTGTCACAAATACTTAGTCTTTTCTCTATGATTTAGCATTTTCAGCGAAAATAGAGCACTTTAAGCGTAAATACAGTGTTTTTTTTGGAATTTTTTTTCAAGAACGATTTTATTCATA